CTGGGCATTTCAGCATTTGCTGAAATCCGAGACTCGGTGCACTCCAACCAACTGGCGTGCTGCAACTGTATAAACCCCACTTCGTGAAATGTTGGCCGAGAGGGCTCTTGTTGATTTGCTGGCCCACCTTCACTTAGGGCGGGCACAAGGCTTGTTGGGGCCTTAGCCCAGAACATGTACATCATGGCGAGGCCCCTACTTGATGGCTCAATCCTCACATTCCATCACCCTTAGCTTCGAAAGTCCGCTGAGATGCTTACTTMGCAGGTGCCTTCCCTTTTAGCTTCCGTTCATAATCTGCCACCACCTGAGGAGCTGTTTCCATCAGTTCCTCCCGGGTAAACCACCGATCTTCTTTAGGATCCGTATGATGCCTGAATCTGATCCGGTACTCCCTCTTGGGTTTAGGAGGTCTTCCTCGACCCAGCGGCTTCGGAACAGGCATATCCCTGTGATCCACAATGTCGTCGATGTCGACTTGTCCATCCATGGTTGGGGGCAGCATCGATCTCCTGAAAGGGAATTGATCAGTCTCGGCGAAAGGTGCAAGCTTTGAGGCATGAAAGACTGGGTGAGTGTGTAGATGTCCAGGGACACGAATGACATATGTGGGACCATCCGACTCATCTCCCACTACATCCAAGACTTCCCAGGGACCAAAGTACTGAGGCATTAGTTTGCGAGATATTCCGAATTCCTATCCTAACTCACTAGCCTTGACCCAGACACGTTCCCCTCCCTGAAATGTGGACTGTCTACGATGTTGATTCTCAACAGCAATGATGGCTTGCGGAGCCTTCTTCATGTGTTCAACAGCCTCTTGCAGCAACTTCTCATACTGCACACCGTATTCAAGTGTGCCTGGAGTTGCAGCAGGTCGGTTTTCAGGTAGGAGGAAGTCTAGTGCTGATCTAGGCTTCCATCCTAAGTGCAGCTGGTTACGACTAACACCGGTACTGCTATGTATAGCATTGTTGTACAGGTTGGCGATGAGAGGTAACTGCTCATCCCAGTCATCATGGCTGGGCTTGATGTAATGCCTCAGCAAGTGCTGTACAACTCTATTCATCTGTTCGGCTTGTCCGTTGGCTTTGGGATGATTGCCTGAAGTCATTTGAAGTTGACTGCCCATCTGTTCCGCAGTCTTCTTCCACAGCTCACTTGTAAATCGGACGTCTCGGTCACTAATGATGGTCTTTGGTAAACCAAAGTCCCTTACCCAATTGTCCTTGAACAACTTGATGATGTATTCAGTCCTGGCTGTCTCTGGCATTGGTACTAGTCTAGCGTACTTGGTGAATCGGTCAATGATGATGAAGATGTGCCTCTTACCACTCTTGCTGGTCACAAGAGTGTCCATGAAATCCATGGAAACACTCAATCCAGGACCATCAGGAATAGGTAAAGGCTTCAATAACCCAAGCGGTGCTTGAGTTCGCGGCTTCTCCCTCTGACAGACCTGACAGGTCTCAACATACTTCTTTGCGTCATCTAACATTCTGGGCCACCAAAATCGCTGTACTAAGTTAGCACTCGTTTTTTTTCTTGTAGCCAAAGTGCCCAGTTGCGTCATGACATTCGCCTAAAAACAAACTACGCAACTGTTCACTAGATGGAACTACCAATCTCTTTACTCCGGCCTTATCAAGATAGATTAGCCCATCCACCATCACGAACTCACTTTCTGTGGCCTTGTCTTTCGCCTGAAGTTTGCAGATGATGTCCATCGTGACAGGGTCTTCCTGATAGGCTCCCACCAATGATTGAGTTACTTCGTTAGATACGCCAAATTCAGAAACTAGTGCACCTAGGTAGTCTGCTCTACGGGATAGCGCGTCTGCAACCTTGTTGTACTCTCCCTTCAGGTACTCAAGCTTGAAGTCATATTGGTCTATGACCTCAATCCATCGCTTGAGTGCATCAGAAAGAGCCGGTTGAGTCTTGATCTATTTGAGAGTCTGATGATCAGTCCTCAGATAGAAGAATCTTCCCAAAAGGAAGTGTCTCCAATGGACATATGCCTTGTAGAGAGCATAGAGCTCCCTTTCGTAGGTGGACTTAGCCAATTTCTTCGATGGCATCTTCTTACTCATGTACTTAATCGGTCTCAACTTTTTCCCATCCTGTTGAGCCAGCACTGCGCCAATACCATATTGGCTTGCGTCAGTCGTCACTATGAATGGCTTCTGCGGATCGGGAACCATGAGAACTTCATGATTCATGAATGCATGCTTCAATCTCTTGAAAGCACCCTCGCACTCATCACTCTAGTCCCTCGGCGTGTCAAGTCGAGTTAGATCTGTCAAAGGAGAGGCGACCGTAGAATAGTTCGTTACGAAGTTCCTATAGTAGCCGCACATTCCTAAGAAAGATCTAACCTCAGTAACTGTCTGAGGTCGTGGCCAGTCTCGAATACTAACCACCTTCGCATCTTCCGGTCTAATTCCTTCCGCGGATACTTCATGACCCAAGTATCTAAATGTGTTTTCGAAGGAGTGAAAGTACCGTCTCAACATGCTGTGCATGCTCCTCGACAGACTTACTAAAGATAAAAATGTCATCTAGGTAGACCACGACAAACTTATCTACATGATCATGGAAGATCCGATTCATAGCGTGCTGGAATGTACCCGGCGCATTGCAAAGACCGAAAGGCATCACTACAAACTCATACAGACCATAACGAGTCTGAAACGCTGTCTTGTGTTGGTCCTCAGGTCTTATTGCGATCTGGTGATATCCGGATTTCAAGTCTATCTTTGTATAGTACTTGCATCCCTGCACCCTACCCAATAGGTCGTCTATGCGAGGTAGAGGCTCTGCATTCTTCACAGTGATGGCATCGAGGCCCCTATAATCAATGCACATCCTCAAAGCACCCCCCTTCTTCGGTACGAATAGCACGGGTGATCCGTAAGGGGAAGTACTAGGCCGAATCCATCCCTTCTCTGTCAGCTCCTTGAGTTGCTTCAGAAGTTCATCTAACTCGGCAGGGGCCATCCTATAGATCCTTCCCTTTGGGGTCTTACTCCCTGGAATGATTTCTATAGCGTGGACGACTTCCCTATCAACAACTCCTGAGGGTTCCTCAAACAGATCAGGGAACTTAGCAACGACGCGTTCTATCTCTGGGGTGTTTTAACGGCCTCCCCCTTCTCAGAGACATAAACAAGGTACATACCCTCCTCTTGGTTTTGCTTGTAATAATTGTAGAATGCTGATGCACACAAGCAGCCATATGTATCTACAATACTGCTGGCCTTGAACTTAGTCATTCTGACAGTTCGTCCATCGGGCAACTCTTGTTTGAGCACCTTCTTATCCCAGTCAAACTGGGGCTTAGCAATATCGAGGTAATACATGCCCAGCAACATGTCAAATGGCAAGTCGTTAGTAACCAAGAACGAGATCTTATGGTTAAGCTCACCTCCTCCATAGGAGAAGGTACAGACTACGTCCTTGAGGTAGTCTGTGACAATCATGCGCTCCTTGTTGGCCAAAGTAGATGCTACTGGTCTACTAAGGTGCCGCACCCGGTCCTGTAGGTGCAGCCTTTCCAAACAGTTGCGACTTATGTAATTTCGCGTGGAGCCTGTGTCTATGAAGGCACCACATTTGCGGCCTCCTACATCCACTTCCACAACGAAATGTTCCCCTCTAGGACCCTTCTTTAGCGCCGCCCAAGACTCGCGAGGGTCCTTGTTTGACCACTCGCCTTCTAAGTCTTCTAAGGCCTCAGACACATCTAACGTACAGAGCATAGTTTGGTCTAGTTGTGTCTACGGGGTGACTAAGGAGTCATTAGCTTCGACCTTGTCATGAAGTGAGGAGGGTATCAATCCCACTTCATCTTGAATAGAAGCCGCTACAAAGCCCTACGCGTTTCCCGAGCTAGAAGCCTGGGAATAGGTTGTCCCTACTTTTGGAGCAACCTTTTGCGTAACCTTCGCGTTCTGACACTTCCAGTGCATGTGTCCTTATTCTCCGCAGTTCATGCAAGCGCCACGCGATCAGCGGTCACGCCACACGTCTTGATCAAGATCTGCCTTAGTCCACTCAGCCTGTTTGGTCTGATTGGAGGCGGCCTTCCCTTGACCCCTAGGCTGGCCCTTCCCTCGGCCTGCCGCCTTAGTCTTAACTGCCGCGGCGAGGGTGCTACCCTCAGCTACCTCCTCGCCGCCATACTCTGAGTAGTCCATCAGGTCAGAGAGCTCATCGATTTCAGTTCGAGTCCCATTAGACTCAACCATCATCAACTTCGCCCCCTTCTTCTTCCACTCCTGAGGACTCTTCTTCTTCTTTGAGTCATTCCCTGAGGTGGGTTCAGCATTGCCTAGCGTGGCCTCTAAGTCTAAAGCTTTCCTAGACAATGTCTCAAATGAGTGGTACTCAGTGCGTGCCTCACTAGCTAGTAAGTTCCTCATGTTCTCAGGTAAACACCTAACAAACATGGTTAAAAGGAACTGGTCACTGTAGTTGATGCCTGGGACGAGGATCAGGCTCTCGACGGTAGTCGTAAGCTCCCTAACTGACCTGAACTTGTGTTGGTCATGTTTGTTAATGGCATCAGTGGCCCTTTGAGCCTCCTGTGGGTTATGCCAACGAGCTTCTACCATCTCCATGAATTGGTCTAGAGTCAAAGACTTAGCCCAATCTGCCATGCGTCGCCCGTACCCGACTTTCACAACTACCCCATCTAACCATTTTGCTGCTTTACCCTCTAGGTAAGATGCCGCAGTTACCACCTCATCCTCTGGCAAGGTCCTTTTGGCCTTCACCCAAACCGGGACTGTCCTCAACCATGTGTCGAGTTCCTCGTCCTTTCTCTCACCTGAGAAGGCAAGAGGCGGTTTCATTGGGGTCTTGGGATACCATTGACCTTGCGGCTGTCCCTGTGAAGGAAAAGGTTGTTGCGGTGATGTAGCAATCACCGCTAGACCCGAAGAAGAAGATGCAACAGTCTGCGAGACTGCTGCAGACGTACCACTTGGATGCGTGCCAGCTTGTACGGGAAAGGGACCTGACATCGCTCTTAACGGCAACAACGATTGTGCTGGTGGCCGGAATCCTGGCCTTGTCAAAGCGTCCAAGATCTGGTCTAAAGCGTTCTGCATGAAGTCCAACCTATTGTCCACATGCGCATGCAGTGACAGCACGTTATTCCTCAACACTTTCATGGGCTCATTCATTCCTGAATCGTCCAAGCCCTCCAACTCAGCCTTGTCAGTCTCTAGAGTATCAAGCCTGGCTGTTCTATATTTGATCTCCTTTTCTCTGTCGGTAGCCTGTTTCAGTTCCCTCTCTAATCTTTCACGGATCCTTTCGACTTGTTGAAGCTCCCTGAGCTCCCTCTCGCGAGGAGTCAACGGGTTGAACTGCACGCCCGTCATTTGACTTGTAGACGGCCTAGACCCTAGTGAAGTGGAGATACTCGGGGACCCTGTTGGCATTCCCAACTGGGTTCCTGACGAGGACGCAGCCGAAGTTGCAGCAAAGGTTGTTGCTGTGGTAGCCATTGCTGTTGTCGTGGCTGCTGCGGCAGCCTGCTCCCTAGTTGCAAGGTTTGCTGCTTCTCTCGATGCTGCGAGAGCACGGGCTCTACATTCGGCACGAAGCCGTCTTTCTTCTCCCTCGTCTAGAGTTTTGAACACGTACGGGATCCTTCTTGATCTTGCACGAGTAAGTCTACTATCGTCAACTCCCTCCTCGTCGACGTCTGACCCGTTCATGAATTAGGCAAACATTGTCTGCACTAGAACTCCCTAATGGAATCCTACCACAGCATGTGTCTGACCGACACCTAATTTTCTAATAATGATTGTGTCCGGCAGTTCCCTTACTACACCGATCAAGTGGCATGTCTACAACATTCACACAGATTGTCTACATAGTCTAAATGCACTTTGACTTGTTCACTTACAGCAGCATTAGTTAGAACTGACTATGGTAGCATACAACAGTCCTACACTAATCTGTCTGTGAGGTGTTAGCAGTCTGTCCACCAACTAATCAAAGGTACAAAAGACAATGTAGCAGATGTATGATTGATGGGTATGGTTGTGTATACAGTTGAGCACCAATTAGAACCTACCCTCCCCTCAATCCAACCATCCGAACAGCATCATTGAGCCGGCAGTGTCTTCGTGTGTATTCCGGCCCACCCCTATGCCCAAGTTGTCACCGAGCTACCCAGCCCAACCACTCTTACTTACCCTCGTACGGCAACGAGCCTTCCTGTCCATGTGATCTGGCTGATCAGGAGGAATTTATAGAGCGCCCCCATCTCTTCAGGAATTATTTAACGTCGCAGTCAGGACGACGATCACAGCCAGAATCACAATGAACTCCCAACCAGAAATGTTTATAGACGGTCTGCTAAGCGTCTGTCATGGGCTGGCACACCCGGAGGAACTTCTATCGGCGCAGCAAGTGCCAAACAGGACAGCAGCCATCGCATGCGTGCACTACTCCCTGTGGGTTGGCATGGTGACCGTGACCCAAGTGCTTCGACCAGGGCCCTTCAGAGGCACCGCCCTTTCTCCTTCCTGTATACTTCCGGGAAGATTGTCGTCTCTCAAGGTAGCGCGCTCACGACACCTCACCAAAAGAGACCACTCTCAAGTTGGACTCACCTCCTCACGGTAAGAAGAGACTGAGAGAGTAGATAAGGTAAGGGAACAACGTACCTGGAGATAGCTGCCCCCAACCACAGATTTCTCACCCATTGAGCTGATGTTGCATTTGATGACCGGTCATGACCTCGGTACCACCCACAACGCAATGCAGTGCCACCTTAGTCCAATGCCACATCAGCATGATCTCATCACCAATCAAACATTCCGCTGTATCCCATGGCTAATAATGCTGTCAATAGCCTTCCGGTGCACCCCTTTCTACCCAGGGCGTGACTACCCAGGGCGTGCACCTAGTGTAGCCTGACGTCACAAGTACCCACTGCGAAGAAGCATCATCAACGCACCAAGTCTGTATAGCGCTAGCATGCCAAAGGTAAGTGGCGATCAAACCAGCTCCGATACCAAATTGCAAGGAACATGAGTATGGACGAAGCACAGAAATCCAGAATGCAAAATTACACTTAAGTCCAAGTATTCAAAGCCAAAGCAGATAGCACATGGAACCGAGTGACCATCCCATTGAGAATGATACAGAAGAATTGTGAGTCAATGTCCATG